AAGAGGACGGCAGAGGATGAGATGGTTAGACAGCATCACTGAAGCAATGAGCATGAAACTGAGCAAACTCAGGGAGGCAGTGATATGGTTCATGGGGTCACGAAGAGTCAGACACGACTTAACGACTAAACAACAACATCGGGTGAATCTGTAACATATTCATGGCTTCAGAAATGGAAATGGAAGCTCTTTTTAGATAATACACTAATAACTAATGGTTCTTGAAGCTTCCTTAATTGTACAAATTGCTTGAATGTGTAGGGGTGTAAATATGTGCTATATGTATGTGTGTGTGTGCGTATACACACACACACACACATTATGTAAGCACATCCTGTGTGCACATCCTATATGGATTTCCTCAGAAGTAAAGAAGTAACTCCTATTGAACGCAATGGACTATCCTTCCAATTCAGTGGGGTATGGGCTGTTTTTCTTCTTATTGGCGTGGCTTGCAACTGGACTGAATTGGGTGAACCCAGCCATTGTATAATTTAAGGATATTAGGAGAACAATGCTAGATCAGATCAAAGGCATGCTGGGTTCTCTGTGATACAGGGACCAACCAATTCCTAGGGGAAGCACATGAACCCCATTGAGGTTCTATAACAACTTCTACAAAGACAGAGAAAGAATGCCTCTGGCATGTCAGGAAGATGCAGCATTCAAATTAGCAGCTCTTGGTGACCTTCTTCAGCATGAAGTTCCTTGGCTTTTCATCCCTGGATGAGAGAGGCACAAGGCTGCACCCCAAAACACATTCCCCAAAACAGTCTTCTCCAGTCTTCCAATTCTTTTTGAAAATGAATTCCCATCCTCCTGAACTAATGCAAGAAAAAGTTGAGGAGGATGGGAGTTATCACCTAAAAAGTAAATTTGAATGGAATCCACAGGAGGACTTGACAGCATGGAGGAGGGCAAAAGTCCAGATATCTTTCAGTTTAGCAAACTAAACTAACTTAAATTTCCCATAATGGTCTGGACTTGGCTTTCTCTGCTGATTTTCACTTCTCATTTGGGTAAAGGAAAATGCTTCCAGTGCTGTTCTGTTTTCTTCTGCCTCCTTTCCTCGCTCACTGTTTCCCAACAACACTTTTTGTTATTTTTCTAGAAAATTAATTCCCATTTGACTCTATCTTCTGTCTTTGTCTCTCTCCTTCTTTTAGCCATCTCCTCCACACGGACCCCGACACAACCACCAAGACTCTCAGCCAACCTGCATCAAACAGATCTCCTGCTTTATTAGTCCTGGCCATGTAATGGGGGCTTTCCACTGGTACCATGTAATGGCCATATAATGGGGGCTTTCCACTTCATTTGAGATGTCAGGTTCAGCCCAAAGAACTCCCTGAGACAATGCAGATACAGTTTTGTTGCATTTATTAGCTTCCACCTCAAGACAGAAATCTCTCCAGACTGAATCTAACTTCCCAAGCCAGCCAGCCAAAACACCGTGAATTCCTTAGGGTGGTGCCAGTCT